CTAACAATTATTAGCTGACTCTCAATCTCTTTCTCTCTTTCTTTTTCTGAATATACATACTGCCTTTTACAAACTGCTTAGCACCTTTCTTGTTTTAGTTAACCATGTACCTTTGATAGTGTTGCATATCAGTACGTATAGAGATGTTTCATTTTTTCAAATGGCTACCTACTGCTGTATTGTATTAGGTTGGACCATATAATTTACTATTTTTGTAGGTCAAAATGGTCAAATATGAGCAGTTTTACATGGTTCAGTCTAATATAAATTAACTGTAATTTATTTATCCAGTTTCCCGTTGATTGAAGTTGTTCCTTTCTGGTTTTTTTTTTTTTTTTTTTTTTTTTTTTTTTTTTTTCTCTATATATATATATATATATATATATATATACTTTTTGCAGCTGGCCAGTAAGGAGATCTGAACCCTCGGCCTTGGTGTTATCAGCACCATGCTCTCTACTGAGTGAGCTAACCGTGATTGACATTGTTTCTAATCTTTTGTCAATATGAACAATGTTGCTATTAATAACTTTGAATGTGTTTCTATCTGCACTTGTAATAATATATCTTTAGGATAAACTCCTTCCAGTACAACTCCCAGGTTAAAAGGTATGTGTATTTCAAATTTGCTAAATTACCAACTTGTCTTCCATTGAGGTTAAACTAATTTACACTCCCATCTGTGATATCTGAGAGTGCTTGTTTCCTGGAGCCTTTAGCAACACAGTAGATAGATGATAGATAGACAGATAGATAGATAGATAGATAGATAGATAGATAGATAGATAGATAGATAGATAGATAGATAGATGATAGATAGATGATAGATAGATGATAGATAGATAGCTATGTAGATATATCCATCTATCTATATATATATTTTTAATGCCATTTTGAGGTACGAAATTTTTTATAATTTGCCCAGAACTAGCGTTAGAGGCAGAGCCTGGACTTTGCTCAGTGATTTTAGGTTTACATCATTTATTTTCTCCTCCACACCTGTTTCTTGAGTTACTTCAAAGTTTACCTTAAGTTAACATTCCCTAAATAGCCTTCCCAGATAACCAGACCTACACTCATCTTTCATCTTCCTAATCTCTTACTCTTAGAAACCTAATTTCTAGTTTTGTTATTGTTGATGTTTTCTAATGGTTTCATGGTAAATGGTTTCCTAAATTCAAGCTTGTTGAAGGCTGATACTACGTCAGGGTACTCCTGCCTCCCCTCCTCAGTACTAAACAGAGTCCAGGGCATTTGGCATGGCATCAAAAATTATTCATCTATTAATTAAATTGATTTTTAAGTTTACCATTCCCTAAGGGAAGGAGAGGTAATATTTATTGGGTACCTATTATGTACCAAGTATTGTGTGGTACTGGGCAATATCCAATATATTGCATAATTTATTATTCATGATAATCCTGTAAGTTGGCCATTATTCTTAATAAGAGAAAAGAGTAACCCACGGGGAGATTAAGCAACTTCCTCAAAGAAACTCAGGGTAAGTGACAGGCAGAACTAGTATTGAAACCAACTGTCTGACTCAAATACCTTGCCCACATCACAGGAGTCACCTCCTTGGGCCAGGACTAGAAGGAGGCAACTGAGGTGATGAGGCTCTTGCCTTGGGTGCAAAATATAAGGGAAGGCCAAAAAACGCAGCAATCAAGATAAATAATATTTTAATGCAATATTTTTTAAAAATCAAAATTAATGCAAAACAATCATGATGAACAAAATATTGAATTTTCAAATAAAGACAGGATCTTTATTACTGACTTTCCTTTTGCCTCAGACTCCAATATAGTTTCCCAAGGCACAGTTACTGATCTTTTCCTTATTTGAAATCATAAGCTGTCATTTGATAAGGTATTGTTTTAGAAGAATTAATATGCTGGTGGTATGTAGGGCAACCTGGAAAAGAGGCTGGAGGACTTTGGAGATGTAAAAGATTTTGCCTAGTCGAGATGAGTTCAGAAAGGCAAACTGGATTTTGAGTGCATAGGTGTAATACCACTTTTTTCTGTCAGCCCTGTGCTAAATAACTTGGAAAATAGAACCAGAATAAGATGGTCCAATGTTTTATGTAAATTATCTGCCTCCCGTAGACCAAGTGCATGTGCCTTACTACTTCTGATGCCCCTGCTGATCCCAGCCCTGACAGTAAATCCAGGTGTGCCCAGCAACTTTCTCTTCACTCCCAATGGCACCTGTGGGAAAAATACTCGTGTTCCCCATGTCCATTCTCCTTGTTTTTTAGAGATTTTCATCCTACCCTCTCTGAAACAAGGGCTTGTCCTTCTAGACTATCCATCCAAATTATTCTAGATACTCCAGATACAAGTTTTCTCTATTTCCCCAGCCATTGTGATTGCCTTTCTCTGAATCTTTTCTAAGTCCATGATCTTTCTTGGATTATATACAGCCTGTAGTCCTCTACACATAATACTCGTTGATATTCACATGTTATTATCTCTATGCAAAACTATGCGTAGGATTTCTGAGTTAGCTGTGTGTCTTAGGGACTTCAAATTTAACCCAACCAACTCCCCTCAATGTACAGACTTACAATGGGTCTTAGTCAAGCTCACTCCCAAAGCTGATGGTAGGATCTCTGCATTTCCCTTCCACTGCAAGCAGATGGCTCCTGTTAGCCACTCTACTTTTCCTGAGACAGAGTCCTGATTCAAGTCTTCTTAAAGAGAAAAGGGAGCAGAGGCAGTAACCATCTACACTGCGTGCTCAGGCCTGCAGAGTTTGGTCTTTCCCCCTTTCATAGAGAATGCCAAAGGGCACACAGGAAGGAATCGGCAGACATCTCCTACAGAGAGGTAAAACCATGATTCTAGCCATGGTTCTAGACAGTGCACTTTTATTTTTAATAACTTTTTCTGAATGACACCCGAATTTTGCCAGCCTTTTTGGAGAAAGTATACATTGATTCATCTCTTTAGGGAGTGGTCTCTAGTGGTCTATCCTGAGCTTCTTTTCCTTGGCCAAGATGAATTTTATCTAATGGTCAATGTTACTCAGAACGTGACGTCATAAACCTGGCCTGAAACTATGTTCAATCTGAATGTTTTGACAATTGTGTGAATACAAGGATGTACGGAGTAGGTATAAAATATTTTATATTTCCTGGAGGCAGGTCAAATTGGAAAAAATTCAGGAGATGATCAGTATTTGTAGGATTATTGCATTTACCACTATTTTAAAAGGGGAGGGGGCAAGAAGAACAGAAGGTCAGCAAAAAGGTAAAAGCTTTATACCTGGGGGTGGCTTAAATGCCTAGAGGCTCAGGTCAGTAACATAAATTAATACAGTTGTTTGGTAAGAGGTGTAGGAGCAGTGGAGAACTCTAGAAAACACACCTAAAGGGAAGCAGCCAATCGTCATGTGAAAAGGTGGACACAGTGTTGCCAGATCTTCTGCTTTTTCAAGAGAACCAGATATCTGGATTTTTATATAAAATTTGGGGTGGCTGATCAGTACAGGGATCTGAACACTTGACCTTGGTGTTACAAGGCAGTGTTCTAACCAACTGAGCTAAGCAGCCAGCCCTTGAGATTATCTAAATTTTCAATGCTGACAACTAATCCAAGTTGGAAGGAAGTAAGAGGGAAGGAAGGAAGGGAAGGAGGGAGGGAGGAAGAAAGAGGGGGGGATAAAGGAAGGGAGGGAGAGAGGAATAAAAGAAAGGGAACTCTCTTATAGGCTAAACCTAACAATGATAGAACTCCATGGCTGCTGGCTGCCGGTTTGTGACTCTTGTCTTATGCAGACTTCTAAATTCCTGTCTTTTCCAACAATACAAGATGTGTCTAAGAACTTAATTCAAGGTGTACTTGGAAGTAGATCAAATGCAGGCAGAATTTCCATTGCCTTGCCAGTTCTTTAAATTTAGCTGTACAGTTTTTATTGAGCACCTAACATGTGCAAAGTTTGTCACTACATCACATTAAAAGTGAAATACACTAACAATTACATGAAATGACAGATACAGCTTCCATAATAGCCAAAACAGACTCTGAGATACATACTTACATTTTAGCTATTTTTAAAAATACGATTGAAGATAAAGAGAATTGTTTGTTTTAAAATATCTTCCGGAGCACACAATTTCTACAATTCACTTCTGAATTAAAGTTAATGGGAATGTTTCAGAACATTAGGCATCACTCAATTAAAAAGTAGCACTTCGAAAAGAATTGAAAGGCAACCATCCAGAAAATCTTTCCTTGGAGCCAGTTTTGACCTATGAGGTTTCTATCCCCACGGAGTTCATACTAATTCAGAAACGGGGGGGGGGGGGGGGAAGGCGTTTATTTTTT